CTTAGTGATGAACTACTTTTGAAACGCTTCATCAAGATAATTGCTGGAAGTGCCAGTGATGGTATTTCGGTTAAAGGTGTGTGCTAGGATGGTAAAAGCCGAAAAAGGGTATAGGCTGAGATAGTGAGAAAGGCATTTGTCATGTGAGAAATCATAAGTGTGTATCCCTGTATAGAGCAGAGAATTCATGTATCGATCCCCAAATAGGTTGGACAAAAATATTCTTGCCTTTGATCAAGTTGAGTAGAAGTAGCATGATGAGCAAGTTATGAAGATAAAATGAACTTACAGTGTCTACCACAACATGATCAAGTGATGGCATATATCCATGTAGTCCGTCACTCCCACCATGACCTACAAAAAGAACAAAATAACTCGATCACCAAAATGCAAACCTACCAGCTTTTAGGGCCAGCCAAAAGCCATTCTTGTAGTATTTGATAAGCTCATCAAATTCCAATCGGCAAAATTTCATATTTCATGGAAATAATTAGGACAATGAAATATTGGAGTAACTAATCTTCAAAAGGTATAATTTACTTGGTGGCAAGTCACAGTTGAAGCATACAGCACACATATAAATGCTTTTACGAAATAGACTAAAACACCAAAACAATGGGTAAATGCTATTGAAACTAAAAATGGTGGTCATGGCTGAACCAACACGCCTTGATTCCTAACATTCATACACATATTCTTCCCATCCAGTAAACTAACTTTTAAGGCCAAGGTGTACCAAAAAGTTCTCTGGTGCACAACAATGTAATCATTCTAAACAATGGAGAGGGCCCTGTCCCAATGATGATGAACAATGACAACAAATCAAATCAAATCTTGAAATCTCAGAAAGGATCGCATACATTACACGAAATCGGCTTATTTAATGCGGTGTAGTAGATATGGAATGAATTTGACATAACAGGTCACACACACACACACACACACACACACACAAACAACAGCATCATTTTCAACGTAATGATAGAAGAACAAACTAATACTATAGCTACCTATCCAGTCCATTGCATACACGCCAAAGTTGCATGAATTTAGTTGCCTTGCAAAATCAGCATATCGTCCACTGAAAATGAACATCATCAAAAAATTGTAACGTTATTATTCAAATATATAAGAAAATACACTACTGAGCTTCACATACTAGCAGTCTTACCCCAAGTGCTGCACTCTCAAGTTTTCACAGTTCAGCACTGACACTGTGAGTAATAGTATCCAAAAGAAATTGAGAAAGTCAAACAAAAGTCATCAATTTTACCTGTGCTCATTAAGCCCATGTATGATGACCATGATACCCCTGAAATCACAAACATTCAAGCGTTTATAAGCAGGAGAGCAATTGGAAAAAGGCAAAAGAAAAGAAGGGAATAAATAAATATATGCACTAGATGTGTGGAGCGAAAACCACAATAAGATCAGAAATACAGTAGTATGATGAAAGCCCATTATTCCTTCATTCTAGTTTAAATCATACATACAAAATTTAATTGGTAGAGTTATTCGTTTCAAAGGAATTCTGAAGTAATATTATTTGACAAATCATGAAACTAAAATCAACTAAAGTCATGGGATCATAATTCCATGATTTTTGAGGTCTCATGTGAAAACCAAGAGATTCAAAAAATAAATAAAGAAATAAAACATGAGAGAAATAACTAAAGGAGGATTGTCTTCATCAATTACCCTGAAACAATTTTCTATTCTATGTTAAAGCTTCTATGAATGCCAACTGGTTTATGGTGATTGAGGGCAATTACGAAAGTCACCGGAAATTATGGAAGTGAGAAAGGCAATTGTGGTGGGATCCATTAAGAGCCTTAAGACTATATTAAATCTTCTCCTAGCTTCTCATACACTTTTTGATATACTTCTTGATGTATATTATTGATTGATATATATTGATGTCTATATTACAAGATTGTTGTGTATATTGGTATTTTGTTATGTTTACAATGATCAAATATATAGAAGAGAAGAAGGTAGTAGGTGAAGTGGTAGGGGATGAAGTGGAGGTGGTAGTGGTAGGTTAGGTGAGGAGGTGAATGTGTGTGGTAGGTAGTAGTGGGTTAGGTTTAGTGGGTTTAACACACTTTTTGATATACTTCTTCCTGTTTAATAAAAGCAGCCATAAGTTGAAGAGGTGGGAGCAGAATTTATTCCAAGTTCTATTTGCTAAGTTTCTGATTGCAGCTTCCTCGCAGGGTTACAGAAAAGGATAAGGTACATTGAGCTAAAAAGTAATCTTATGGATACAACAAATATAGAGTTCTTCAAACCTTGTTCCAACTCCTTACAATGTTACAAATAAAGTGAACTATACAACCTAAGAACTATTTTGCTACTTGTAGGCCCATTTAGAAGGTATAACTAGGTCAAGTAGCCTTATAGTTCTCCAAAATCCAATCAAGTAATTCAAACCATCAATGAATGTAATAGCAAGCTTCTCCATATTGAAGATCAAGAAATACCAAATCAATTACAGAGCACAGTGATTAAGAATGAAGACCAAGAAATTCCAATATGCATCTATTTTAGTAAGTTTCACATCATCTCTAATTTCACTTATGTTTGATTCCATGCTGAAATTCAAAACAATGCTCCTTCATTAGCATGTCAAAAGCCTATTGCTGCCTTGAAGATAGAGTAAAGACCCACACATACATAACTGCATAATTTAACCACCCTATTAGTCACTCCAAATAACAAGTAAAATTAAGAGATGGCTTCTATACGGGTGGCCCCCCCTTGGTCCCTCTTATAAAACTACATATTTCTTAGTTTTCAGTTTCATAGGCTTTATCTGGTACCGAACGTATTTGCCTTCTCCAATGGAAAAAACAAAAAAATCATCAAGGCAACTGATCACAGGTGAAATACAAACAATTTAAGTCAATAATTAAATAATGAAGGCGCGGAATATAGAATACAGAATATGGAATATAAATTGGAAATAACTCACTAATCAGTATCAGAATCTGGTACCAAAAGGCTTATTTGCCTTCTCCAATGGAAAAAACAAAAAAATCATCAAGGCAACCAATCACAGGTGAAATACAAACAATTTAAGTCAGTAATTAAATAATGAAGGCATGGAATATAGAATAAGGAATATGGAATATAAATTGAAAATAACTCACTAATCAGTATCAGATGCCCTTGACACAAGGCCATCAATAAGCAGGCACCACTAAACTTTATATCTGCACTTTAACTAAAAAATATAATAATTTAATCATATCAACAGGGTTATTCTAATCGACAAGGCAAGTTTAACAAGAAAAAAATTCATATTAACCCAGAATATCAAATGCTTCCTTTTTCCATTACTAAGAGGGTTAAGAGGGTTGTTTGAGGTGTCCTAAATAAGTGCACTTTTTGTCTTTTTGGACTAAAAAATTGAGGAAAAAAATATGAATGTTTGGGTTAACTTTTTATGAAAAAATGTGTAATAAAAAATTGTAAAAATTGGTTTGTAGAGAAAAATTAGGATTGGGAGTTGTGCAGCCGTAATTGTTGACTTTTGGTGAATAATGTTAACTCTTTAACTTTTTGAATAACTTTTTGACTTTTTGACTTTTTATGTACTTGCCAAACTTGGCCTTAATATTTCAACCAATTGCAACAAACTACTAAAATTCTTACTTACTAACCCACAGAATCAGGAAAAAAAAAAATAAATCAAACATAATTACTTTTTTTTCTCAGAAAAGAAACTTGCAATTCGATTACTAGTATCCAGTGTTCATCAAACTGAAGTCACATTTAGTGAGAAAGGAAAAACAAGATGAAACACAAATTTGACGGTTTCAAAAAAAATTTCCTGAGAAACGATTTTCTCTGTTTTCTCAGTAACCAAACAAATCACAAAAGAAGTTGTTGCGAATAAATTTAATTCCTTAAACAAAGGAAATGGAACCAAGTCAGCACCTGCTCAGGAGAAATCTGAATTGCGAAGCCGTTAATAAGATGTCGATAGCTGTAGAGTTTCTTGTAGGTCCCACGACCAAACAGCTTCTAACAAAGCATATCATGTTTCTTTTCTAGGTGATGACGGTAAGATGTCACTGTTTCACTGAAAAGAGACAAAAATACAGGGGAAAGAAAGTAAGAATAGTCATCAACAAGCCTATGTGTCTCTTTTGTACTTGTAAAAAAAAAAAAAAAAAAACAAACATGTTCTCTTGCCACAGGTGGCAGGAATAGGATGTCACCAGTTAACAACACATAGGCTTGTTAAAAACAAACTGTACTAAATTTTATTTGCTGCAAATAAAAAAGTTGTCCAACTTGGATCAAAATAATATGAAACCATAAAAGTTGGAAGGATCAAAAAGTGCACATAATTGGGAAGGCCAAGCTTTCCTGTAGCAAAAAATTAAAAATAAAAAGAAGAAAGGGCTACAAATGTCCCACTAGTGGGTTTACAAAGTACTTAAATGGACTCTAGTAAACAAGATTGTAATTTTCCACATCTTGTAATGCACGTGTAATTCAAATGCTACGCAATCTGTCCTTCTGTTTTAAACCCTCAGTCCCTCACCAGATATGTGGTAGAAAAAGTCAGAATGGCCACATTAGGACAGGTTATCTCTTTCTCCAGAATATATATGCTTATAGATTTTGTGCCTTTCACTTAAAGAGGTAAGATATTTTTCCCTCATGGAGAATTTGAAACATGCTCATGACCATAATGAATCGTAAGCCTCAACCTTGAATACATGTATAAAGAGCACAAAACCTTGCTCAAAGCTTAGAATGTCAACTCTTGCATAGAATGTCATCTAGCATTCAATTACACATCCTAAAATCCAAGAAACCAACCTACTTCACCAAATGAATGTCAATGTGATAACATGACTAACTAGAACAAAACCAAACAAACATAACATATATATGTATAGAGAAACCACAATAAAGAGATCATGCAAAATAAACTACATATTGTTATGGATAGACCTGTTATTTCTAGCAATTGCCAGTGATGGTACCACCTCTGCAGAAAGAACATAGGTAGGACCATAAGCATGCAAGACGTATTTACTACCAATCAGATGTCCTGATTTCTCATACCTGCAAATATTTGCAATACAACACCAAACTCAAAAATTAGGTTGCGAATAGTTATACGCACTTCATCAAATATATACATTATTCCATAAACAAAAAAACACAAAAATATATATTTAAAGGAGAGGGAGGGGTAAAAGTTTTCCTATCTACCACTTCAGTTTAGAGTCAGTTATCACAGGTCCTTTCTTTATGCATCCAATGTAAGTTAGTGAATGGCTTCTCTCTTTAGCCAAAAGAGTTGCAAGTCGATCTGTTGGAATTGAGAAAATGGTATTAATAGTAAAAGACCAGCAATAGTTAAATTATTGAACAGCGACGAAAATATTAGTCACCAAAAGTACTATTTGGCGACTAAATTTAAATTTAGTCGCCAATAAGTAATATTTATTGACAAAAAAAATTTAGTACCGATATCTTGAACCAATGCCGACAAATTTGAATTTTAGTCACCAAAAATGTACTCTCGGCGACTACAATTTGTTTAGTCGCCAAAAATGCTCGCCAAAGGTGCAATTTCTTGTAGTGTAAGCACAGAAGCAGATGGGGAGCAAGAACAAACCCAACACTGAGTACACCCAAATATAAACAAGACCTATTTACAGAATAAACCATGTACATCCCACATGGAAGGCCAAAATTAGGTCCAGGAAATACATATAGTATCATAATAACTATTTCAAACATAATAACAAAGTAAATGTGCAACTGTATGAACACCATCACGACGCATCCACAACAGCATCAAGCCGGCAGCAGCAACACACAGCCGACAGCAACCAAAATCAAGAAACAGCAAGCAACCAGTAACCAGCAACACAGCAAGCAGCTACCCCTTCCTTCAAAACAGTAACAAAAATAGCAGCAGCAGCAGCATCTAGAATCTTAGAAAATAAGCCACAATTACAAGTTCCAACTGTATGAACACCATCACGACGCATCCACAACAGCATCAAGCCGGCAGCAGCAACACACAGCCTGCAGCAACCAAAATCAAGAAACAGCAAGCAACCAGTAACCAGCAACACAGCAAGCAGCTACCCCTTCCTTCAAAACAGTAACAAAAATAGCAGCAGCAGCATCTAGAATCTTAGAAAATAAGCCACAATTACAAGATAAGATAAGCCAAAAGCCAGAACTATATAATAAAATAAGAACTTAAACAATGTAGACTAATCCAAGTGAAAACACCACCTGAAGATAATGTTTGAATATACTTACCAATGTCGGTTGTTCCTAATGTCCTAATTTTCCCCCTGTTCCATAACCCCTTCCATGGGTTTGTCTCTTGGGTCTCTTACTATATACTCTCTGTATATCTTCCGCTGCTGCACGTACGACTCCCTCGCCCGCTTCTGTAGAAGCTGGCTGCACATCACTAATGGCTGCAGTACAATCATTTGATACCACCTCCAGCAAACCTTCACATACGGCGCTAAGCTGTGAAACGCCATCATCCGCTGCATTATTGTCATGGTCTATTGCTTGGCGTCGCCCTCGTCCTCGCCCTCTACTTACACCACGACAGCCGCTACAACCTCTACCCCTACCTGTCCCTTTGGTAGGTGCATGGACCTGGCCTTCCCCCTCCCCGTCAATGTGGAAGTCATGGGTAATTAGTGGATCAACATGGTAGGTGAAGGTTATATTTGGTGTAGGAGATGATGGTGGGATAGGAGATGATGGTACTATGAAAGGGTTGGGTGCGGTCAATGTCGACGCAGAGGGAATCATAGTAGACAGACATGTAGTAGACAATGGTGCTAAGGGAGTCACCGGGGTACCAACCGCTATCCTATATGGGGGTGATGACCAGGAGGGCTCCAATATATGGCCATGGTGTGTGGAAGTATGTTCAGACATTAGAGGATCTACCTCAAGGGCAAACTGGGATTTGTAATCGGTACATTCAGGTGGGGAAGTCTGCGGTGTATGCATTGCTATAGATGGACCATGAGGGGACAGGCCCATGGAAGGCCCCTCACCAAAGTGTTCCATATCAAAATAGTCCGATTGATGTGCATGACGTGTGGTAGGATGCGATGGAGGCATTGATGTCAATGGCATTGATGTCGATGGCTCAGTGGATGGCATATTCGGGTGCGGCATTGATGTCACTGTAATATCTACCCCCATATAAGGATCCTCGCCAAAGTGGCCGAAATCTAGTCAGTCACGTCAGTGTGCCTGTTGCAAACCATCGTACAATAACTCCCGTATCTCGGCAATGGCATCCAATCCCTCTATACCATCACGTGTAATATGGGCAGCGTCTGCCATGTGATATGCCCTCGCAACTCTACGAACCTGTAATGTAATGGTAGCTGTGTTACATAACCATCAATGCCAAATAACAAACATACACAAACTTAAGCAAATGTTGTTTTGGAGAATATAGAGAACTTACCAATCTCTCTAAACTACTCCCGACGCCTTGGTATCCGAAGGCAGCAATGTCACTCGGATTACTAAGTACTAGACGTGTATGACGGCGAAACCATAACATGTATGGGTCCGAAGATGTAAGCACTTCATTGCTCCTCTCAGCATGGACAATGGTGTTGCGTCGGTTGTTCCACTCACCAATAAATGTCTAGTATTCCTTTGCCCAATCAATGGCCATTTTGCCACGCCTATCTCTAAAATGCATAGCCAAGTGGGCGTCAAAGCGATCAGGCACACTCTGAACTCGTCCAAATTGTCTAAGCACCCGGTCGGGGGATGCCAGTCAATGATATCGAAGCATATAAGTGGCACTTGTGCCATCCATATGTCTCGACCAACGGTACAATATGATGGGAAGCTGGTCATGATGTCATCTTCCGTCCCGTAAGGCTCCCATATGAACTGCAATAGCAATGCAATAATTTAGAGATCTATTCGTACAACGGAGGTTGACAAACAAAAAAATGGGTAAATTCACATGAACAAATTACAAACCTCCCCCTCCATCATGCGGTCGAACTAGTCCCGGAAGATGACCCTGACATTAGTCGATATCACCTCATGACTTAAGGGAACCCTCCACCTGCAACCTTGCGGGCCAGGTGGTAACAGCTGGTCGCCCTCCCCTATGGCATGCTCGCCAGTAGCAATGTTCAACTTCCAACTAGGGGCGATCCTGCTCAATCTCTCCCACGCCCAAACCTACAATGAATGATGCCATTATTAATGTATTACAGTAGGCACTTTAGAAAACATGGCAATTGAGAATATGAGATAAAACTACAAGTCATTGCAACTCACTTGTAACAATACAAGTGGGCTAGCTATCTCCTTTGTATCAGCCTTAGTTGCCCGACACAACATCCTGTACAAACATGCCAATGTGGCACCACCCCAGCTGTACTCCTGGATACGGTCAAAGTCTCTAAGTAGTGGCAAAAACATCATCTTGACTATATTTTGTGACTTATCGGGGATGAGTACCCCCCCAATAAGCCACATAATATAGGCTTGAGCATAATGATGAACCCTCTCATTGGATGCATCATGTGGAAGGTGACGGAAATGCTCTGATATCCATTTCAACTTAAGCGATGATCCTATGAAGTCTTCTTGTGTAGGTGCTGCTCCTAACAACTCCACACATAGCGCTATCAAATCATCCAACTTATTTCCTAGGTCTTTTCCAGTGACTGCGTGTCCGTCAACCGGTAGGCCAAATAGAATAGCCACATCTTGTAATGTAAATGTCTACTCTCCAACAGGAAAATGAAATGTGCGCGTCTCTATGCGCCACCTCTCTACGAGAGTTGTAACGAGATGGTGGTCCAATCGAATAGGTCCGATCCGATACACCCTATAGAACCCCGCACGGAGTAGGCAACGTAGGACTCTATGGTCCAAGGCGGTGTCCCATATGCCCGAATCAGATCGTTGGCATTTCAATTTTGGCTGATCTTTCGCCTGCACAAGACAACGTTGTGTGTAAGAGACATAATGCTTGTTCAAATGACAATTGAATTTTCATAATGAACCCATCTTCTATTAACTGAAACAGTGGGTGAGATAACCAAAATTTTAGTGGTGCATAGTGCGTAAGTGGTGTAAATGTACAAAGATAAATACATACAGACACAGAATTGCAGTGTCATGACATAGAAGTAAAAGGCTCCATCAAAACTAATATAAGTTTTAGAATGTCTGGTACAGCTATTAACGAAGTTGGGTTGTACCCTTCACTGTAGACTGCAATGGGGGTTTATGTGGTTTTCAGTTAAATTAGAAGGGCGTAAAATATAACTAAGCCGTCATTTCATCATTGAGATAAGAATTGAATAAGTTGGGGATCAAATGAATACAGTGAAATATTACAGACTAATATAACATATAATGAATATATTTTGAAGAGCTTAAAGTCCTTTATTTTGAAATGAAAAATGTCGCTCGAACTATATTAATGCAAGTTGTTGTAGTATAAAATAAGTTAAAAGTTATTTAAGTAAACGAACAAGCTAAAATAGTCATTTTGTCAATAATTGAAATTGTTTGTGTTCTTATTTTATATAATTTTTAGGACAGTAAAAATATAAAATAAGAAATCGCTAGCAAGTAGAAGATTATGTTATTTGGAATTGGCAAAACGCTTCAGTGATGAATCAACAAATGAGAAATCATAACATATGAAGTGAATTATTTATTATTTCTTAATTATTTAACAAAAGTGAATCAACATATTTTTCTCCTAGAGTACTACATAATTAGCCAGCTAGCAAGGATAATTATTGAGTCATCCTAGAGTATCATGTGGTGTTATTTATTTAATGTTCCCAACTACTTACGGGATGACAATTTTTACAAGAAATAATGTTGACTCACTTTATTAACTAGGTAGAAGACAAGGAATGAACAACTGGGCCTTCGTTTGGCATGGCAAAAAGACAAAATAGGCTAAAAAACCAATAACACAAAATGTTACATCTAAACAATATTCATTTCATTTTTTCTTTTACAAAAGCCAAAAAGCCTATCCGAAGTGAGGATTTTTAGCCCCAGGCTAAAATAGCCAAAAAGTTAAAAAGCCAAAAAGTTAACCCACATCCCAAACGAATCCCTTCAAGTGTTTATTTGGTACAGTTTATTGTAAGTTAAAGGATAGTAATAAAAAAGACGTCGAAAGCATTATTTCTCTAACATTATGGTAATTAACTTTTTCAACTTATTTAAAAATAAAAGTTGCACCAACAGTCCAATACGCAACTCTGAAATTATAATTAAAAAAAAAAAACTACAAACAATTCATGTAAACTATACTGAAAATCATCTCATAAAAATTGAAAAAGGCAATGTGGGTTAATAGTGTGAAAACAGTTCGCACTATGAATTCCAAAAACCAGTGGGTGGTTCCCGTTGTTACAACACTTAACTATTTTTGAAAGGGCAAACTCCACCTATTTTTTAAATTTTTTATTGAAATTTATCAATTGAAATAATGTTGTTCAAGTAAGGAAGTAGACAGATCTAGTTTTCCGCACTACGATGGTACTATGAGTCGCTGAAATTGGATTATTTAATAATTTTTTGAGTAGGTAATGGGTGATGAACTAGGACTTCTGATTTGATGATTATATAATATTATTTTGTGCTATAAGATTATGAATTCAACCTCTATAAAAAAGGATTTTGTTTGTGATATTTATTTCTTCTTTTATTTTAGGAATTGTATTTAAAAGTCCTTTATTTCGTCGTAAGCATGAACTTGGGGTAATTGTTAAACTTGATGATTATCAACTTTTTAACCATTTATTTATATATTTTTTGGGTTAAGCTAGCGGTCCATTTAATATAATCTTCTTCGTTCTCTCTCTATGGACTAACGTTTACACTTGGGGAAATTTGTCTAAACCATTGAAATGTCCAAATAGGATGATCCGTGGACTAACATTTACAGTTTCACATTATATTATGTAACAAATACAGTGTTTGTGTAGTATTCAAATATCGATTGTAAGTAAATAATTCATACCGACTGACGCCATATCGTATC